GCTCTTCACCCACAGATAGCACTCGCTGCTGCAGCCAATCTGATGGTGTCCATTACACACCTTCCTGTGATGCTGGGGAGCTGACAGACAGAAGGTACTGCCATGCTCATCAGTCAACATTGTTGTCCTCTGTCAGGAACACCGCCTGGCTGCTCTGACTGCAGCATCCTGGCTGCTCTGTGCACTGTTTTTAGCAGAGCTGCCATACATTATCCCTCTCTGAAGTTGCTCCCTGACCCCACTGTGGCTTCCACCTACCTTGGCCTTTCTACAATTTCCTTTGGCTGCTGTGGGCTCGTCTGGTCCAACACATAGAGAGACCTTTGAGATTTAGCATATTTTGTAGACACTGCTGGAAAAAAAATGATCCTCTCACCCACCTTTGTGGAAAACACCTCTCCATTCTCTGTTTCTTCACAATCTGTACATATTACACCCATAAAACTGCGCCACTGAGGCTGTACCAGCACTCAGTGATGATGAAAGTAGAAAAGATGCAGCATAAAAAGGTCACAAATGGGAGGGTTTGGGGCTGGACTACGGAATTTTAGACTGCAGAGGTCTTCAAAGCCCAACCCATGGCCCCTAACCCAACCAATGGCCAGAACCCAATTAGTGGCCATAAAACCAAACCATTGCAGCAGTGTCACCAAGCACAACCCTGACCCCAACTCTGTGGCACTGTGGTCACGTGGCAGCAGTGTTTCCCTAGATGACAACAGGGAAGTTAGTTTTACTCCCAGCCCCATTTTGTGGACACAGAAATGCACCTTGCCACCCATTCCAACTGCGGGGAGTAATTGAAGATTGGAGCAGCCTATAACTAGTTAACATATGCAGATGTGATACTTTTTCCACACTCCATTTGCACACTGAAATAATCTCTGGCAGTGACTTCATTTCCTCTGTTGATTATCTGCAAAGAAACCTACAAAGAGTGTGAGCAGCCCCTGGTCCATCCTGGCTGTGAGCATTTGTCTGGAGTGACTGCCACTGCTTTTTCCTCCTTTCTTTCTGTTTCTGTGGGCTGAAGGCTTGGTATGAAGCACAAATATGGAAATTCACAGTTGTGAAATACGAAGCATTGAGTCAGAGTGAAACGTCACACAATCTTCAGGTAGAAAGAACTAAAATGAGGAAAACTGTGGTGCACTGCAAATCACTTGTGGAATCTCTGCAGCTGTCTCGTGTCTTCAGCTCATTACAGTACATTTTGGTTCCTCCTCGGGGGCGGGGAGAGGGAATCTCTAAAGGCTCTTGCTCAAAAGAATGGTTTCCCAATTCACTGTGCATCTGACTGTTACTCATAGACAGCAGCTGGGATCACTGCAGAAGCAACAGATGCTGTGCCTGATCGTTGGCTACTGGTCCTGGTAGTCGAGGACCATCCTGTGCGGGGTGGGAAAGGGAGCAGAGCCAGAACACAAGGCTTTCCATGGCTGTCCAGCCATGTACCATAGCATGGAATAGATTTCATTTATGTTTATTCATATTCCCTTTTCTAAATCTTGGGGTATATAGCCATTACTTTTCCATTTCATTTACTGTGCAAATGCTGTAGATAGGATAACATAAAAATGTAACATAAAAACAGAGCTTGATTAAAAATCAGGGAGTATTTCTGGAGAGAGGTGGTTGAGTGATTCTCTGCTCTGGTGGATGTAGGTTGGTGGCTCTGAGTGAAATCTTTCCCAGTGTACTGCCTCGGCTGGACAGTTTTTACATTTGCTCCTCAGCATATTAAGGCCATTCATCCCCTGGACAGCCAGCCATAAGCAGAAATTTAGCATGTATTTTACTTACAATTGCACTTGTACAGGGTGACAAATCCACAAAAATTCACCACAAAAACCCAAGGGTAACGAGGGGCTTCAGGGCACACCCTGTCCCATGGCCGAGGACCTGCCACCCCCTGCTGCAACTGAGCTGGTGAAGGAAAGAGCAATCGATGGGCCTTTCTATGTGTAATTAACACTTTTATTTAGGTTAGAAAGAAATTCCAAACCTCCACAAGTGCAAGGGAGAAAACAAACAAACATATCCTAGTCTGGCATCAGCAAGGATTTGAGTTGGTGTTGGTGTTAATGAGTGATGGGGGAGCTGAAAATGCCTGACCCTTCCTCAAGGTAGTTAAGGCTCTCCTCCACCTGCAGCAGTGAATGATAGGTGACAGGTATCATCATGACTTTCCTTCCTACATTCAATAAAAACCCTTTTGACACCAATGCGATGACAATTCATGATTCTCCATGGTGTAACATGTCACCTTTATTGCTTCCTCCGTCGTGAACCAACCCCAGCATTTCCACGACAGAACTCGCTGATCTCCTACTCTCCAATGTTTCTACAAAGCCCAAACTCTTCCCTTTCTCTCATCACTGAAACCACAGAAACTGGTGTCGTGTGTGCAAAAAATTCATACAAATCTCTTTTTCATCCCTGAAGACCAACCTGCAAAATGGCAATGGCAGCACAATGCTTCAGGCACAGGTTTATGACAGCTGTGATGCTGGAGGCATAAGCAGAGTGGCAGTACCTGACACTGATCATTATCCTTTCAAGCTGATGCAATTACCCTAATCAAGGTTTCTTCGATGCTGAACTTTGGTGTTTAAAAGTACAAACTTTCCATAATCAATCTTTAGTAGTTAAAATTTAGGAGGAGCTGAAGGAAACTGGAAAAGAGAACCACTCTGGGCTGAGGTTAGCTTGTCCTAGCAAAGAGGAGTTTTTGGGTTGAGAATGGATATTTCAGAAGCTCCTCCCATGCTGCTCAAATGCCCTGGGAGTGGGGCACTGCAAGTGTGAAGGATGCAGTGGGAACCTGTGGGTGGGACTCAGTCCTCTTAGTCCAGATCTGTGGTCTTCTCTGCTCCAATTCCTCTGAACCTGGGGGACCCATCTCTGAGCAAAGCCATTGGGATGACCCAACACTGCCCTGACTTTTCCAGCCTCATCTGCCCCCGTACCCCATATCTCCCCGTATCACCTTCTGCATGCCCCAGCAGGGCTCCTCACTGCTCCATGGGCTGACAGCTGGGACAGGCCCTGGACACTGGATTCCCAAAATGCTACTGGCCAACACTTTAACAATTTCTTACAGGGCATTAAAAGATTGCTACACATCTCTTGCCAAACAGATGAGTCTTTCCAAGGAAAGCTGTTTTTGATGTGCTCATTGGAAGGCACTGTGCTTCTGGAATGGTTTGTGGCTGTAGGGTTTCCCTGCTCTCCTTACAGCTCCTTAACTCCTGACCCCAGGTAATTTTGGCTACTCAACTGGCAAATGGGAATCTTTTTGCTTTCCCCAAACAGAACATCACAGAGTATTAGCTGCAGAAACCACATATGGCACAACTGCCCAGGGAGGTGGTGAGGTCACCATCCCTGGAGGTGTTCAAGAACTGTGGGGATGTGGCACGGTGCTCAGTGGACATGGCGGGATGGGTTGGAGTTGGACTTGGTGACCTTAGGGGTCTTTCCAACCTCAACAATTCTATAATTCTCTGGCAAAGCAGCCTAGCTGCTGCAGAGGGGGAAAGATACTTGTATTAATCACCTTAACAGCAGGGAATTAAGAAACCTGGGGAGATAAATATACCGGGGTTTTGTTAGATTGATGCTCAAAAAATAATCCAGATCTACTTTGTTTCAAGCTTCTCAGAAGCTGATAGATCTTTGTGCATCTGCAGCTGCCACTTCACTTTTGTAATTTAATCTCTTTGAGGTGCATTATACCAAATAATTATCTTAATGAAGACTCTAATGGGAAAAGAGAGGGAAATAATAGATGTGCTTTGAAGAAATGAAGCTGCAAAGTTGCTTTGTTTTGAAGCTGGCACTGGTTTAGCTCCCTCTCCTCCTGGCTCTTGTCCTTATCCAGGTTCTGATGTGCCTCTTTCAAAAGATATGCTTCAATGATGGATTTTTACATATTAGTTACAATATCACCATTTCTGAGTTTGAAGCAACCCAACACATAAAACTAGCTATTGCTTTAGCAAAGCCCAGCCTTCCACGTCCTGCCCCATCCTGCTCCCTGCAGAGCTCTGGCTCCAATGTCAGGTTTCACTCCACCACTTTTATATCCTCCTGGATATTGGCCTGAGCTGACCTTGTTTTGGCTGCCTTCCTCCTCTTCTGTAGTCCTCCAGCTGCTCTATCTGTTATTCTGGAGAGCCCTGGTGAAGAGATTTCAGCAAGTCCTCACGCACTGATTCCTACTCTCTCCCATGCCCAGGAGGTGCTTCTCGGTGTCACACGGTCTTCAATTTATTTCAGCAGGTTAAAACAACGCTTTATATCATAAATGATATGCATTATAAATAATAAGTAAATAATAATAAATTAATTAATGCTCCTGGAGATTTTCAAGAGAAGTGTAGATGTCTCACTGAGTGACATGGTCTAGGGCAGTCAGAGGCATGGGCTGATGGTTGGACTGCATGGTTGTTGTGGTCTTTCCAACCTTAATGACTCTGTGATTCTACAATTGATTTTTAATCAACTCTAATGTTTTGGGTTTTTTTGCTTGCTTCCTGTAGGGATCACTTCAGGGAGAAAGGAAGCAGTTGGGTGAGATGATCTCATAGCTCTTTCCAACCTAAAGATCGTATGAATCGATGAAGGGTGCACTTCCTCCAGCAGTGACATGGGAAGGTGAAGGAGCACTTCCTCCACCCATCTCCCACGCACACTTAGCCTTGCATAATGCTGCCAACACCCTCACAGTCATAGGAATTATCTGGGGTTCCTTTTTCCAACATTCCTGGATGAGTTCTAGATTGAATTAAGAAAAGAAAGTGAATGTAGCTCATTTTTTCTCAGATTAATCAAAATATCACTTCTGGCCTTTTTCTCTCTTAAATTGGCAAATATTGCTCCCAGGCTCCAACCACTTCTCTGACTCTGGAGAGTGAATTTCGTGATCCCTTTGCATATCCAGTTATTGCCACAAGCTGTTTGTCATTCCCTGCATGTCCAGAATTGTCCTTCATTTCTCAGCTGTGCTGTTTCCTGTGCTGCCGGGACAGCTTGCCATAGAGGTAACGTGCCCGCTCGTCCTCCCGGCTCTCAAAGAAGGAAGCAGAAATTTTCCTGCACAGGCGGCGTGCGTAGGTCTCCAGAAACACGGTGGCGTAGATAATGCAGAAGAGCAGCCCCACAACCAGCAGCACGGAGGGGTTGGGAGGTTTCGGGGGGCTGATCCTGCAGCCAGCAGAGCTGAAGGTCAGGGAGTGGTGGTAGCTCCTATCAACGTCCTTCACGGGAAGTGAGATTTTCAGGAAGTCTATTTCAGCCTGAAATAAAGAGAGTAAGAGGTTCAATGAGGTGTGAGCCTGGAGGTGTGTGGTTGCTGGTATAGCTTGTTTGAGTGCGTTGAGATGAGGGTACTGAAGCACAAATATACTTCAGGCAGGAGTTGTGGGTGCTGAGCCCCTGGCGTGGTGGGATCCAGTCCTGGCATCGTCATCTGCTGCTGCAGGATTCACACCGAGCCAGAGCACAGAGAGCAGCAGGGGCTGCGTGTTTTAACAGAAAGGTTTGTTTCTAAGCCCTTATTGCTTCACTATAAGCAGTTATCTGAGCTAGGAAGTGCACAGGCTGCGGCAGGAGGAGGATGGCAAGATAAATAGGGAATTAAAAAGCATAATGAGAATTAGAATCATAGAATCATAGAAACATCAAGGTTGGAAAAGGCCTCTAAGATCATCCAGTTCAACCGTCCACCTACCATAAAAATTGCCCACTAAACAACATCCATCAGTGCCATATACTTGCGGTTTTGAACAGGCCAGGCGTGGTGACCCCACCACTTTCCTGGGTAGACTGTGCCACTGCATCACCTCTCTTTCTGAGAATCAATTCTTCCTTATTTCCAACCTGAACCTCTCCTTGCACAACTTAAAGCCACTGCCTCCCGTTCTATCTGGGGAGCAGAGGCCGACCCCCACCTCACACAACCTCCTTCAGGGAGCTGCAGACAGCAATAAGGTCTCCCCTGAGCCTCCTTTTCTCCAGACTGAACCATCCCAGTTCCCTCAGCTGCTCCCCGTAAGTCCCCACTGTGCTCAGACCCCTCACAGCCCCGTTGCCCCTCTCTGGACGCGCTCCAGGCCCCGATGTCTGCGTGGCAGTGAGGGCCCACAGCTGAGCACAGCACTCGAGGTGCGGCCCCACCAGAGCTGAGCACAGCGATGATCACCTCCCTGTCCTGCTGGCTGCGCTCTTCCTGATGCACACCGGGATGCTGTTGGTCTTCTTGGCCACCCTGGCACACTGCTGGCTCACGTTCAGCCGAGCGTCGACCAACACCCCCAGCTCCATTTCTTCCACACAGTTTTCCAGCCACCCTGCCCCAAGGCTGTAGCAACGTGTGGGGTTGTTGTGACCAAAGCGCAGGACCCAACACATGGTCTTGTTGAACTTCATCCCATTGCCTCAGCCCAGTGAGCAGCCTGCCCAGGTCCCTCTGTGGGGCCTTCAGGTCCCATTTCCTCCCACCTTGGTGCCACCAGCACCTCTTTACTGAAGATACACTCAATTCTCTCACCCAGATTATCAATAAAGATATTTAAACAGGGCTCCAGTACCAGCCCCTGGGGAACCCCACTCATGACTGGTTGTCAGCTGGATCTAAGAGGATATTAAAATAGATTGAAACTGGGGAGTTTTGTGAAACAGGATACTGGGTGACAGAAAGGCAGCGGGCAGGGCTGTCCCCAAGGATCTCCTGCACACTGAGCAGCATCACAGCACAGGGCAGCGCATTAGAGAAGCCAACCCATCTGTGTGCCCCAAGCAGCACTCACCTGGTATTTGATGCTGAGCGTGATGGGCACTGCGGACAGCTGAGCCATCCTCCTCACTGCCACGTCTGCTACGCCAAAGACGAGGTGCTCCAAGGCCACCACCACCAGCACCAGCAGCAGGGCCACCGAGAGGCGCAGCGCCTGCGCCAGGCACAGCATCAGCTCCTCACGGGACAGCCTGAGGCCTGTGGGGCGGATGAGGCATTGGGCTGAGCCCACCAGCAAGTGGGAGGCTCCTCCATCCTCAGCCAAACGCTGCAGCTTCTTGGTGATGTAAATGTTGTCGAAGCGGAGGTTGGTGAGGTAATTCTTCAAGTACCAGATGGACTCAAAGCAGAGGTAGAGCACAGAGAAGGCAGCGACCAGTTTGTTGCCTGCTCGCACACAATCTTTGACCAGCACCTCGACAGCCAAAAAATCTTTCCTGGCTTTCTCACCGGCGAGGTGCACCTGGTTAATCCAGGAGTTGTTCTTCACCAGTGAAAACTGAAAATGTCCATCCATGGGCTTCAAAATAGCGTAATTTTTTATTTCATCCCCCAGCTTCCAGGAAGCGTTCTCCAGCAGATCAGTGGAGTTCAAAAGGCTCTCAGAGGAATTCTTGGAGATGCACAGGATGACCTGCAGTAAGGTCTTGATGTTGCTGATGATGTTGGGGGTGATGTTAACCACTGCTATCATGATGCAGGCTGACAAGAGGAGCTTCCGGCCCTGCTTGGTGCCCAGTGTCGGCATGGTGATGCTGAAGGCACAGCGCACAGGGTGCAGCAAGAACAGGGCAAGGAGGAGGAGCAGGCTGAAGGTGATGGCCATTGCGATGGAGATGTGCTGGGGGTACTCCAGGGATGCAAAGAGCCAGTTGTAGAAGAGGCCTCCAAGCAACACGGTGATGCAGGAGCACTGCAGAAATAGGGACCACAGCTCCCGGCTGTCTGCTGGGACTGGTTTGGAGTATATGGACCATTGCTCTGTCATGATCCTCTGCAACTTTGAGAACAGGGAGTCTTCATAATAGGCGTTGTCATGCAATCTGTGCAAAGAATAAGCACCAAGGTGTTAGTAAGGAAATACAAAAATGCACTAATTTGGGGAATTTGTAACATCCCTCTCTGATCTCGCTCTTTGCCTCTCTGATATCTGAGTCGCTGGCACTGGGGTCTTCCCTGCAACCATGCAGGCCAGGACAGTTCATAGCATTTGTTGAAATCGCTGTCTACAACTCCCTGAAAGGCGGTTGTGGCCAGATGGGGGTCAGCCTCTGCTCCCCAGTCATAGCAACAGGATGAGAGGCGGTGGCTTTAAGTTGCATGAGAGGAGGTTCAGGTTCAATATCAGGAAACATTTATTTTCTGAAAGAGTGCTGATGCAGTGGCACAGCTGCCCAGGGAGGTGGTGGGGTCGCTGTCCCTGGAGGTGTTCAAGAACTGTGGAGATGTGGCACTGAAGGACATAGCTAGTGGGCATGGTGGGGTGGGCTGGGGTTGGTCTTGGGGATCTGAGGTCTTTTCCAACCTCAGTGATTCCATGATTCTATGAAAGATCTGATACCAGTTATAAGCAACTCCTCCTCCTCTAATATCATTAGAGAAAAACATTATATTACTCTATAAAAAAGAAGTCATTCAGAGTAGGCTGAACTCTTTAGCTGTGTTTAAGAGCAGGTTTGGTGGCTTCTTAGAAGAGAGAGAAAGGAAGAAAGGACTCCCAGCTGCTCTGGAAATTGTTAGCTCAATAATAAAGGTGCTTAATGGAACAGAGGAGCTGGAGCAGGAGCTTTTGCCTGCCTGCTTCTTAATAAGAGATGAAAATCCAAGTAGGAGACTCGGCAAATCTATGGGTGACAAATACAGAACTGATTAGAGAAAACATTGTTTCACACAGATGCCTTAGTGACAGAGGAAATCTCCAAGGTTAAGAATTTGGCTACTGCAGGCAGGATGAAAAGTCCCAGGGAGCTATTTAAATGCCTAATGGAAACAAATGTTTGGGAAGAAGTACTATTTCTCAGGCCTCTGATGTGGAATGACTCTCCAGAGAGCAGAAAACCTGGCGGGGAGAAGGATTATCCCACTGCAGATTTCAGTCCTGTCCCAAGGATGAGACCAGCCAGGAGAGCCCATCTGTCCTAGCCTGGCAGCAGCAGCAGTAACCCCAGATGGGAATTGTGCCCGGCTAATCCATTTACCAGACATTTGCCAGTGGATAGGCAGTTCAAAGCTATTGGGACAAAAAGACTGAAGCAGGTATTACATACCTGGATGACGAGATGTGTCCCTGTCCTGTCTGTAGGCTCCCCATGTTCTGATGCCCTGTTACTCCCACTGTGGATGCTGGAGGCAGCTGCTGGGACACCCACAGGAAGACACCAGGCAGCCAGGACTCAAAAAATGGGCTTCATAAGGCAATTTGAGTCAACAGATGCTGTAGATTCCTGTTGTGAGTGGACAAAGCTGGTATGTGGACCCCAGGAGCAACCCTGCTGTCAGACTCCCTTGGATCTTGCTGAAGTGCAGAGGCTTGGTGCGATGACACGCTGCTGAGAGAAATGAGTCAGCTCCATGTGGAATGAGTCAGTACTATATGGAAAGACTGGGGGGAACAAGGATCACATGGGAGTTGGGGTGTCACTGTCCTGAATTGGGAAATCAGCTGTCTCATCCCAGCAGTATGTTGAGCACTTAGAGAAAAGGGGGCTTTCCTCCGGCAGGCATCAGTCATGGCCCAAAGGCACTTCTGGGCATGGAATGCTCCAACAAATGCTCTGGTCACTGTTGATCAGTTCTGGCAGGCTGCATTTCTCTGCTGAAACTGTGAACTCGTGTGCTGGGCTCACAGTGCTTAAAGGGCAACTCCTCAACAACTCTCACTTCTGTACCCCTTCCTTGGTGGAATCTGGCTGCTTCATTCTACCTAACTCAAAGAAGTTTGCATTTAGGAAGCTTGACTCGAGCTTTTTGCTGAGACCAGCAGCCTTGTGGGAGCTGTAGATGAGCATCTTTTGGGGCCACGGCCATTGGCCATGCACAACTGGATCTGGGTATCTTGTGGTTCTTGCAAAGGAAGACCTGCTCCTTTCCCAATTCCCTGTGGCCAACAAATCCACCATAAATAATCCTGCAGCAGGCTGGGATTCCTGAAGTTCCAGCCTCCAAACCTCAGGGAAGGACCAGCCATGATGGCTGCTCCAAGACATGGAGGGGAAGATGTGTCTCCCTCCTCCTGCCAGAAAAACAAAGATACTGTCTACAAGAACTGTGCACAAATCCTGCCTTCCTCCACTCACAGAGCACAGGGAAGATCACCAAACCTGTGCTGGGGCCTCCCCAAGTGATGCTGCTGCCTTCAGCCCTCCTGCCGGTGGGAACATGGGGCTCCCAGCCAGTTCCCATGCTCCCTACAGCGAGAGAGGGCGAAGGGCTGGGGCTCAGCTGGGACACAGCTCCCTCCCCAGGGATGTAGCCGGTCCCCACAGTGGTGCAGCCATTGGAGGATGAGCAAAGCTGAGCGTGAGCCTATCTCTGTCTGCTCCCTCATCCCTTCATGCATGGCACAGCTCAGGTGTTCTTGGAGTGCCCAGGGACCTGTGCAGAGAGCTGAGTGAGGTACTCTGAGTGGCTGCAGCCTTCAAGAGGAGCACTGAATGGTTTGAGCTGGAAAGGACCCTCAAAGGCCATCTGGTCAACCCCCCCTGCAATAAACAGGGATACTCACAGCTCCGTCAGGAGCTCAGAGCCCTATCCAACCTGACCTTGGATGTCTTCACGGCATCCACCACCTCTCTGGGCAACCTGTACCAGTGCCTCACTGCTCTTATTGTGAAGAGCTTTTTCTTATACGCAATCTAAATCTCTCCTCCTGTAGTTTGAAACCAGCTCCCCTTGTCTTATCAAGAGGCAGGCACCAGGAAAAGCGCTTTAGTTTCGAGCATCAACAGCAATTGCTTGCCCTGGCCATGACTTAGGTGGTGATACCACTTCGCAGTTTATAAAGGAATGTGCCAAAAGGCAAAACTCATCAGGCTCATAGTGGCTGTCCCAAGACTCATTTTTCTCACTGTACCCCAGAGCTAGCTGATTATAGCACTTGAGACCCCTTTCAGAGTGAGCAGGTAGCTTTCTGAGGTGGGAAGAAATTATCAATAGACCATTAAGAACCGAAAAAGAAATCACAGACCATTAAGAAAACAAATAAATACACGAATGATTAACAAACACAAGGAGCAGAGCAGCGTGTTCTCTGAGTCTGCTGCAGAGGGGAGCTGGAGTCTGTGGGGATGCTGCATTTGAGCAGTGATTCTGAGCAGCACCGAGTACTTGTAAGTACGGCCAAACCTGGCTGGAATGTTTCCCAGGGCTCCACAGCGTTCCCTATATGCTGGACTATATGGGTGGGGGTGAAAGGATACACCGCCTGTGCTGATAGTTTGCCAGTGAGCCATTTTCACTGCTTGATGTTTCTCAGGACACAGTGAACAGGCTCGCTTTGTGTAGAAACAAAATTCAAAACCAAGCGAACAAACAAATAAAATAAAGATTTATGCAAGTGAGGGAGTATGTGCGTTTAGCCACAGGCTGGGCGCAGGACGAGGCAGGATCCGGCATCTTTGCGAAGCAACTGTGACACCTGGCGGTCACACTGCTCCGGCGCTTCTGTCTGCGTGCGTCTGGGCTCATAAACGATGGATGTCTGCGGATGGGTGACTTTTTATGGAAAGCAGAGGAAGTGGAGGAGAAATGGGATGTTGTCAGTCGTGAAAATCGTGCTTCACGTTGGAATTTCTTCTCTAAAGGAATGGTGATGCATTGGCACAGGCTGCCCGGGGAGTGGGGGAGTCACCGTCCCTGGGGTGTTAAGGAAAAGGAGGTGTAGCACGAGGCACGCAGTCGGTGGGCACTATTGGTGGTAGGTGGGTGGTTGGGCTAAGTGGTCTTAGAGGCGTTTTCCAGCCTTAGTGATGCTGCAACTCTATGATGGCAGCTGGCTCTGCATGGCCCCCTCACCGCTGCGGGGCCCCGAGGAGGACCTCTGTGTGAACAGTTCACAAAGCCACTCGAATGCTTCTGGGATAAAAGACACTACATAACACTTCCCTACTGTAAATAAACCAGAACGAGTTTCCTCCGAGTGTCTCAGGAGAACATGTGGATGTTCATCCCAGATCGGATGGGGAACATCAAAGGAGCGAAGCAGAGATATTCTGGATGTTGAATTTCAATGCACAAGTGAGGCATTTCCTGTTTAATTAAAATTCACAGGCGGGATGCTAATGTGAATGGCTTTGGTGGTGGCTGTTGAATGTTGACATTCTTAGAGAAATGGTGTGCAGGCAAAGGCCCTCTGAAACAACAGGGCTTAAGTTACAGAAGGTTGATACAGCACTAGAAATGCCCTCTCCCGAGATTTTTCATATCTCTGGTCTTATCACAGAACCCTCAACAACAACCAGGTTGACTTACTGTAAAAATAGAAACTTCTTCCAGTCAATTTTAGCATAGCAATGGGCCAGCGATGCAGAGTGCCTGAGTCATGGGGGTTGGCAGGGAGCTCTCCTGCTCCTCCAGGGGACAAACCCAAAGCTGTGGGGTTAAGCAGGGGAGAAGGAGGCTCAGCTCTACAGAGCAAACAGGACGAAGGGATGTGCTAACAAATGTGCTTTATTGTACATTTTCCATGATCATTTAAGGATTCTGTTAGATGTAAGGATTCTGTTGAACATTCAGGATTTTTTTTTTCCAGAACATGACTGATCAAAGTTCTACATTTAGTTGGCGTTGGTGGTTTCTGTTCAGTCCCAAGACCCTGCCTGAGTGCAGCCTTAAGGTGGACCCCAACTGGCCCCAGGCTTCATGAGCAGCACAAGAGCAGGCGGGGTGGGCTGGATCCCACTGTGCCAGCTCCAAAGATCACACCATCAAAGGGACCCAGCAGAGCCCAGTACCCATCCAGTCACCAACCTGCCCTAAATCAGGAATCAGATCCTTTATCTTTCCATCCATCTATGTCAATGACAGATCTTTAAATATTTTTAGATTCTTAGAGAATTTTTTTTTTTACAAAGGATAAAATGGTGATTAAAATCACACTCAATTTGCAATGCTTTCATTGAAAGTATCCAAGCAATCAGAAATACAAAGAAGTTAAGAATCAAAGCCTACTTTTCAGCAATGTCAATGATACTGCAGTGCAGCTTGCCCGCTGACCTCAGCAGGCTCTCACAAGTGGGTCAGTCTCACAAACCTAAGACTGGCCACATTCACCAAAGTTGAAACACCACTGATGTCCACACAGTTATGTCAGAAACAAATTTGGCCCCAAACCTCCATCTGTGCACTCAGTGCCGAGAACCAGGCAGCAGCTGAAAACCAGGTTTTCAAACCATTGGACATATTTGGAAACAAACGGTTGCCTTCCTGTTTCCAAAGCATGGAGTAACACACCGAATCCTATTGACACATCCCCTGAATCATCCTTTCATGCACAAGCCTGAAGAAATAGTCTTCATCCTACATGAGAGAATTACTCATGAGACCACAAAGAGCCTCCAGCCTCCACGGTCCTGCCAGAAGCCCACGTTGCCTTCTCCCTGGGCCAGATTCTGATACACTCACTCACATTGGGTTGCACATAAATCCATCCTGAGCTGCTCTCCAAAATGAGGAAGGGTATCAGAAGCTGGAGTAGCAAAGCTCGCTAGCTTTCATGGGGGGAGAGGCATCTCCCCAAAGATGCTCGACGCTTATGGGGTTGTCCAGGTAACAACCACCTATGATGGACAGATGAAATTGTCTGGGAGTAGCTGATAGGTACCTGTGGAAGGTGGGGAAAGGACCTTCGGAGAAAATAACCAATAGATGTTGCAACACTGACCAGTATTTCTAAAAATAAAATTAAACCCAAGGGTCTCATATAGTGTGGGCAGCCATGTGGCTTTCTTCCTGTGCATATGCTGACGATTCCAGTGCCCGAGTCCTAAGTGAGTGAGTCCTTCCCCTGGGGTAGCTTTGTTCATATTTTATTTAGTGCACTTAAAGTGACATTTTCTACAGCTGGCAAGAGTGATGTGGCATTTTCTGCATGGATGTTAGCCCATGCAGGGAAGGTCCCCAGCTGGAAGATACTCTTGGCCCATGTGTTCATAGCCAAGCTAAGAAGTAGAACTCCCATAAGATTCATGAGCAACCCAGTTCTCACCTACAAAAGAAACACAAAGACAACTGTTGAGTTCAGCTTGGACATCTACAGTATGAAGTTAGTTGAACACAAATGTTATAAAATGGAAGGTTTAATTGCCATTAATA